CGATAGAAAACCTGTTGAAATCCTTCATAATAATCTAAACATCTAAAGCGACGGAAGTGCCTTATGACCCTAATATCTTAAAAAACTCCCACAAGCTCCTTCATTCAGATAGCAATCATAATATCCGAAGAGAAATGAATATCTTAGTTGACAACAATAAACATCTGATGTCATCCTTGACCATGTTCTATAGTTTCGGTTGTATTGTGAATCGTAAGCGCTAAGACGTAGCCGCCGACATTTGTAGACAGGATTGGATTAGAAATTTCTAACAAGTTATCTTTACTGGTCAAATAATGAAAATACCAAAAAATATTGGATCGCACTACACATTTTTACTTCCTATTCGACAAAAAGGTTTTCACCATTGCTTTGACACCCTGCACCTTCTTCACCGAGAAGACTTTATACATTTAAAGATTCAGAAAAAATGGGGTTAGGTGGTAGAGAACGTATTGTAAATGATGAACGATGATGATTGTTTAATAAGTAAAAAGTTAAAAAAGAATATAGTTAGTTAAATATATTTTTTATGTTATTTAAATGATCTCGTCATTATAACAAACGGTGCAAATAATGTTCATACAATTTTAAGGTATTTTGAGCTACAGCCAAAGAAGAAGAGAGGGTAGAACGATAAGGTACCGTCTGCGCATCCATCACGAGTGTAGAAATTATGCGTGATTCAACCTTCCACTCTTACACATGTAAATGACAAGGAGAGATTGCCCTAAAGCACTGTAAACAAATTCCAGGATTATGTTCATGTTCAGCTCTGTTTTTTGTTTGTGTTGTGGCTATTGTAAGCTTTTTTGGCGTCAATTCTTCGTTATCTTGCTTATATTTGTGATTTTTTGTGTTTTTATTTCGATTTAGTATTAAATTAAACTGGTTAATTATTTTCCGATGCACTATTTTATAATTGTTGCACAAAATGTTGTTAAACCGTCCCTGAATCTTGTTTACAAAATGTGCAAAAGGAACTCATGCATAGTGTCTAGTGTCTTTTGTATTGACAGTTGTCATTCTACCCCTCTCCACTTCATTGGCTACAGCTGTTACCTTGATAAAATTCCGCTACAAATAGCGGAATTTCGGCACACTGCCCGTGGGTAATGATACGGCAACCCTGTGGGTCTAGTGATTTGACAGGATCAATGATACGGATAGTTATATAGATTGATCATCTAAGTTTTTCAAAATAAACATAAGCTTATGCTTTTAAGTAAAAATGTACATAATTATTTTTTTACAATATTCAAAGACTTAAAATTGGTTTTAAAATACATTTTGCTAAACCGATTGTGATTAATGAGCACTTCGAGGCAATATGACCATTCGTAAAGTGACCCGATTTGAGCAATCTTTATAAATGTATATATAATTGACCCTGTCAAAGCAAACAAGTCCGCAGGGTTGCCATATTATAACCAATGAAGTGGAGAGGGGTAGAATGATAACTATCAATGAGAAAGTATGCACACTTTCATTTTGCACATTTTGTAAACAAGATTCAGGGACAGTTTAACAACTTTTTGTGCAACAATTATAAAATAGTGCATCGGAAAATAATTAACAAGTATAATTTAATACTAAATCGAACACAAAGCACACAAATCACTAATATAAGCAAGATAACAAAGAATTGACACCAAAAAAAGCTTACAACAGCCACAAAACAAACAAAAAACAGAGCTGAACATGAACATAATCGCTGAACAAAGCCAATTCTGGAATTTGTTTACAGTGCTTTAGGGCAATCTATCCTTGTCATTTACATGTGTAAGAGAGAAAGGTTGAATCATGAATAATTTCTACACTCGTAATGGATGCGCAGACGGTACCTTATCATTCTACCCTTTCTACTTCTTTGATTATAACCCACGACAGCAGTTTGACAGGTCGTTGAAATGCCTAATAGGCGAGGATAAAATTGTTGTGTATAGTCCTGCATTAGGCTTAGGCATTCCAAGCAAAATGGTTGCCCGTGGGTAACGACAGGCAACTCGGTGAGCATAATGATTTGATAGGGTCAATGATATAGGTAGCTATATAGATTAACTATCTATATTTTTTAAATAAACCATAAGCTTATGCCTTGAAATAAAAATGTACCAGGCCTACAGAGTTGCCATAATATTGCCATATTGCCTGTCAAAACCCACTGGAAGCCATTTTGTTTGGAATGCCTAATTACTTTCAATACTTAACCTTACTTCTTTACAAGTTTTATTATTGTTAAACTGACATATATGATACAAAACTTTATGAATTTCTCCACAAATGCAAAACCATTTTTTATCGTAAAGAAATTGATAAATATAAAGCGCGGTTCACCTTTTATGATGTCATTTAATACAAATTTGGCAATTTGAACGTATAAACTAAAGCAAGGACAACTTAGTCAAGTATTTTTTCAATAGTTTCGTTGTCGGCCAAATATATCAGTCCTTCCAAGAACTGTTTTAATAAGGAATCATTCGGAGTCCATCACTGGAAGCTGCAAGCCAGTGAAGAGAACGAACCGACCTCATCGCGTCTTAAAATACGCCAACGGTCGCAAATAACCAGACTAGCGTCAGACAAGTCGGCACAGTCACTGTGGGAAACTCGACTCAACCCATCTCAAACGACCAACGAAATCGAGAGTTCGATTCGGGCTCCGGGGGCCACACTTAGGTTCTCCTCTCTTATGTTGTGTGGTATTTGCCGGTTTTGTTTCGTCACACATAGTCGGAACTTTGACAAGGCCATATGACTTGGTTCACCTACACCTCTTCTCGACTTTGGTTCATAATATTTCGTTGTTTAGGTCATGAAATAGTCAACTTATAGTATTAAGTCAACAATACTTCAGAAAGTAAGAGTATTATAGTAGGTATCATCACAGCAATTTTATATATTCAAATGCAAAACACTATAAAGCTTTTAAAAACAATGTGGTTTTTATTATTTAAAGAGCCACATCATTACAATTCCCGCTTATTTTTTTTCCTATTCTAGGTCGTTACACTATTTGACCACCAGTTCATTCTAGTTCAATGTCAATTATCTAATCATTCAATTTTAAACTATTCCGCACAGTCACATTGACAATGAATTTGTTGTAATTGTATTGCTTTGTTACTAACACGATACAAAATAACCGCTGATATATCTATACTTCAGATCAAAAAAGAAATAACGATATATTTCTAATAAATTATTAAAAATATCGAATAAAATGACAAAAATGACAATATTCTTTTGTATTAAAATAAATTTGCTTACATTTAACAATTTACTTACCTTTAAAATGGGCTATAACTTACTATTTAACTTAACTTAATATTAATTTAACTTGCTTTTAATTTAGCTTACTTTTAACCTTACTTATATTGTACTTAGTAATTGGCTATATGGCGTTGTTAGCCGAAGGCCAAAAAAGTCGACATTTCCTTTTAGAACTCTCCACATCTACGTTCAAACCAGAAATAAACTATTTTTAAAAATTAGTAATTTTAAAAGTTTTTTTCTTTGAAATGAGGTATTAAAGGCTGGTTTGACAGCTTAAACAGTTTTAATCTGCAAATTAGGTTAGGTATGATCTCAGCGGATCGATCTATTGTGGGTTATATCTAAATTATAAAATACCTGTAGTGGAAAATATTTTTTTTATGATTTGTTTCACGCCACTGGCACCAAGGCGGACCTTGGTTATATATATTACAACCATTCGTCTTTGTGTGTGTGGACCGCGATCAGTTTTGTAATATTCAGGTCTCGTACGAAGGCCAGGGAAACGGATCGCAAAAATCTTATATTCGTTTTAATTTTTTTGGCGTTGAAAAGAATAATACCTACATTCTTACATTATAAAAGATATCAACTATAAAAAAATTCATTCATGTCGGCTTAGAAATTAGGAATAGGATTTATGCACATACTTTGGGTTTATGTCATTAATGTCATATAGCCATCCAATTTAATATGAAGGTAGGTATTAATAAAAGAGAGTTTTAGCAAATGTACGTAAGATTTCCGCTAACGTTACGTTAAACTTAGATTGTGACCTTTTTCATAAAGATTGAACGGAGTAGATTACAGTCTATCCCTAAGGTAACGTTAGCGGATGGTTAGCGGCTGTTTGCTAAAACTCCCTAAAGTCAGCTCTAGAACGTAAATGATCTGCGCATGCTCAGATGTCAAAATAAGAGCGACGCTAATAGTGACTGGCCTTAAGTTAACTTGCAATATCTCTCTATTAAGGACAGGCACAATCTTTATTAAAGTTACTGATCTGCGCATGCTCAGATGTCAAAATAAGAGCGGCACTAATAGTGACTGACCTTAAGTGAACTTGCAATAACTCTCTAATTTCTCTACGATTATACTTCTACACTCCATACATTTGGCTGAGCAATATATATAACTATATACATCATTGGTGTGATTCTATGATCTGAATTATTGATTGTCTGGTACAGAAGCGCCATCTAAATTTTCATTACCTCTACACTCTATAAAACAAATTAAGTAAACAGCAATTCGCGATTCAAGGAAAGCGATACTCCCTCTGTAGGAAATTTGTAAAAGGTGTCTATAAGTAGGACCTTTTCCATTGTTGCCAGGAATAGCGGAATTTCACTACGTCATCGGATTTTTAGCGCTTGAAAAAGTGGAAAGATCTTTTATGTTTCTTACGATAAATGGATATCTAGAAATTCACATTATTGAGATTTTGCAAAATTTTAAATCTAGAATCAAACTGCATTCTGCATTGGGAGTTTTATTACCGTTTACATGTCTACAAAGTACTACACTATTTACTTCATAATATAAGAATATGGATAGTAAGATTTATCAATATTTTATGCAGTATATATATTTTACTTCTATGTAACTTTTAGTATTATAAAAAATTGTATTAGTGGGTACTATAATTGGGTTTCAACCTATATGTATCCCAAATTTTACTTATAAATAAATGTCAAATAAATATGCAAAAAAATAAGACTTACCTCTCGCACAAAGGGTGATTAGTGTTTTGGCGTGGTTAAGGACCATCTCGTAACTGATGTTCCAATGGCTTTCGAGAGGCGGCAGCCTGTTGATAAGGTGTTTTAAAAAATCGTGTGGCGTAACGGCGGATATATCCCATTTTAATTTACTTAAGACTAGAAGTTCCCAACTCTGGAATAAACAGAAATAAAAAAGGTTATTATATACATAAAATTAAGATTGAACATTGATTTCATTAAAATAAAATATATATTAATTAAATGCTGAATTATTGAAAATCAGACCATATTGATTTCACTAATGGACATATATATTTAGTTAAATATTGATGGAATAACAGTGTCATACGATAACCAAATCAAATTATATTGCTCTTACATCATTAGACACGAAGCTTCATTTAAAAAAGACAGAACAAGAAAATGTATTGGCTCCTGAAAAGACACTCAGCATTGTCTACACATAATGTTCCTCTTGCTTAAAGAAATATTAAAACCGGTGTGGATGTATGGAGTAGAACTTAGGGGATGTATCAAAAAATCACATAGAAACCTATCAAAATAAGATATTGAGAAACATCATGGATGCACCATCATATATCAGGAACGAATATCTCCATAGCTCCTTGATAACTTCCACCAAATAAGAAAGATCCCATCAGGAAATTAAAACTATTGAAGATCGATATCAACCACTATTACTGAAATTTATTGGTAGAGGAATTCAGTTTTATGGGAAAAAGAAGAAAAATAGCAGATTTGATAAATTAAATATATAGATTCATCTTTTCTGCTATATCTCAGTATAATTTTCACATCTCACGAATTATGTCTACGTCAAATATGACACTTTAAATTCGAAACATCACTTTCACAGTCCTTTAACTACAATTAGGCATTCCAACAACCTGTCAAAATGGCTACCAGTGAGGACTGATAGTTTAGATATGGCAATCCTGTGGTCATGTAGTCATTAACAGGGTCAGTGATACATATATAGTTATATAGATTGCTCAAAGCTAGTCGTTTGCGAGCGGCCATATTGCCTGGAAAATATTTATTAATTTGAATCGGTTTAGCAAAAATGTGTTTTAAAACCAATTTTCAGCCTTTAGATATTTGTCAAAACCATAGCCATTTGGAATACCTAATGTGTGGAACTGTCAATTAGTATTAGGCATTCCAAACAAAATGGCTGTCCGTAGGTAAATGTATATGATAGGTTATAATATGGCAACACTGTGAGCCTGGTGATTTGACACGATCAACGACATAGATAGTTATATAGATTGATCATTCATGTTTTTAAAAATAAACATAAGCTTATGCCTGAAGTAAAAATGTAGGCAATCATTTTTTTTAAATATTCAAAGGCTGGAAATTGGTTTTAACACACATTGTTGCTAAACCGATTCAAATTAATGAACACTTGCCAGGCAATATGGCCGCAACAGGCCCACAGGCTTGCCATATTTAAAGTGTCAGTTCCCACTAGCAGCATTTTGACAGGTCGTTAAAATGCCTAATTCTGTTGATATTTCCATCCTTATTTTAAGAAAGATCAATATGGCGGATCTCAAAAACTAGATCTGATAGATTCAACATTCAAAATTTTGTAGTAAATTAGGACAAATAAAACTTAACTTATAAAAATCCCTGTATATTATGCATTTTACAAAGAAATGAATGAATCCGCATTGTTTGAATAGTGACAAAACCTGCGGTTACTCTTTTCAGCTTATCCTGTCGCGTCTAAAGACGAAACAAATGACAACACTACAAGGATATTTGAGTGGGGCGGAGCAAGAAGGAATTTTAGTTTTTCAGAATGGATTACATACTCATCAAGAGTAAATGACTCGGTGTGTATCTGTGTGTATGTGCAGAAAAGATAGAATGGCGTGTAGGTAAACCAGAGGGTTGAAGGTCGAGTTGCCGACTATGTGTATCTTTCTCTTTCTCGTCAGGAATGTACGTGTGTACTTTGGAACCGAAGACCCGTTCGTCCTGTTCGCCGGATTCATTATCTGACCGATTGTACATACAAATCAAATTAGCAGAATACAGGAGGGAATTTCAACATTTTTTGGTACCAATGAGCTATAACATTAAATTTTCTTAATATTGCATTTATAAAGTACTTCCCAAATAAATCAAGGGACAGAAACTTCATATGTATCAATATGAAATTGAAATTAAAGACGTTCATTGAAGTCAAATAAGACAATTCAACTTGAACAAAAATACAGTAGTAGGTATGAAATAATTATATTATTTTCTCATATTAAGTTTTGTTTTTGTATAATCTGAAGTTAAAAAAATAAGTGTGGTCCTTTTTTGAAGGATTTAAGACTTAAGCAAATAGTACCTAAATATATTTATATTTTTTTATTATAGAGAAATTCGACAGTATATATATTTGAATTTTTTTTCGTATCAGTAATACTAGTAGTCATTTTGGTAAATTTGTTTGTTCTTTTTGTAAGATGTTGGCGTAAAAAATAAATCAATTTAAAACTTTCGAGTTAGAAAAAAATGCTCGATAACTTCATCCCTACCCAAGAATGCACCATGCACCATGCACCATTTATTAAAAAAATGGAATGGGTAATGACAATGGATCCTGTGAAAGTTAGCCTAGAGCTTAGTCCATCATTTTTATACAGAAACTTAAATTTTACACGAACTCTGATGCAGATACTCAAACTGGATTAAATGCTTCAGATCAATTACATACCATTTAGAGAAGATCGTTTAAAAGATTCTCTATATACGTACCTATACGTTGAATTACAAACATATGTCGTTTTCGGTGAAGCTAGTTTGCTTCTAGTGACAATAAACATAATTACTTATTAACACTAGATACAGAACCTGTTCTGACATACTAAACTTGTTCTTTCGGATTTTTTGTCATATCATATTGTGGTATTTAACAAGAATGCTCACATTTTTCTGATACCGAATGGAAGCCGTAAAGATGTTGAATATATTTTTTAATTAACTTAAATAATATCTTTAATATCATCGAGCCGGGATTTTAAACAACTTAATAAAATGAGACAGTTTACTTTAAATGAAGGCGAATATCTTAAGGTTTCGACTGAGGAGACAGAGAGGTATTCAAAATCATGTCAATGGGCGACACTCCTTAATTTTTTTTTATTTCTGAAATTGATAGATATTTACGTATAATAAACATGAGTTTCATTTGGCAACGCTGCCCAGTAATTGACGTGAAGAGTCAATCATGATATTACGCAGATTGATACTATACGTTGTGGTGACGTAATGTGGTTGAAGGATTATCTAAGGTTGAAGGAGTGGGTTTTACGAATTTGACGTATCAGTTGATAAAAACAACTCGCGATAAAAATTTTACCAATCAGATAACCATATTCCACACCACAATACGTCATGAGCGAAATCATACCTCTGTTATCTAAAACTGGGTAATTTCTAGAAATTTCTATTGGTTTACAGACTTGTATTGTTGTGATTGTAACTGATTATTGGATTATAATAATTCAATAGTTATAGTGCGAAAAAGGTCTAATTTAAAAACATAATGATGTTAGGTACCTACTAGGTACTTTGTTTTGTTATAAATAATGAACGATTACTTGTTGATTGATTTTTCTTTTTATTATAATATCGCTAGCATATTCAGAAGTAATCTAGGTGAATTTTGTAGTTTACGTTCCCATTTTAATCTAATTATTCAGTGGCGGCTCGTGGGCATGCGGCAGTGGGGCACACACTAGAAAGGGATCCCGGGATTCGTTTTTCCCTTAGAAAAACAAGTTCTCCGCTTAATGAAAATTAAATATATTTCAAAACAAATTAAATATTACAAAATTGAAGACTAATTGCTAGGTACTGGTGCAGTTGTATACTATTAATAGATAATAATAATACTGCTTTATTTAGATTATACTAAATTATAATGTATACCTATATAAAATAGATTTGCCTTTGCTTAAAGGATAGACGTTCAGTATATTTTATTTTGTGCTGTTGTTTTTTATGAGATGGAATATATGTTGGGTAAGTGTCTTGTACCAAATTGTTAAATTGAAAGGATACTTCTCCTAACAAAACATTTATATTTATTCCAGGGACTTTATAAAAAGTATAAAATACTGTTGCGAAGATCACTTCAATATATGTCGCTACATTAAATACTAATATAATATAATAAATATGGTTACGATACATTAATTTATTTACTTATATTTTATAAATTTATTATATTAGTAAACTGCTGTAAAAGCACGATATAAATATAAACAAACAAAAGACAATTAGGTTAGAACAAAACAACATACAAATGACAGCTGATGCAAATACAGCGTTCAGGAATTGATCCAAATTATTCTGAAATCCCTTTCCCATTCTCTTAAATGAGAAAAAAAGATTGAAGCGGTTTTTCAAGTACATAACTTGAACAGAACGAATGAATCCCTAAAAAACAACTTTACACCGTTGCCAAATGTCCAAAAGAGAATCATAGCGCTTTAAACTTTAAATAACATTGAGCTAAGTGAGGCCCTGAAAATTGAGTGTGCCATAATAATGGTCGTTCGCTAATTATTACTGTTTTGGGGGATAATTGGATAATTATACGTTTCTTTAATTACTGTTGTATTCTTGTTAATATGATAATGTACTAATTATTATTGTATAGCATTTTTATTTCACCAATAAAAAGACAAACAAACTGTTATAATCTACATCTGGTAGGATAAATTTTGAAAAGTATTTTTTTTCATTTTATTTTGAATATAAAAAAGATTGGAAATATTATTTTTATACAAAGTAGGATTTTTTATATTATAAATGAAGTTGTAACTTGTATGTTTATGTATAGTTAGAAATTTGTTTTAATTTTATTCTTCACTGTTGAATTCGCTAAAAGCTTCATTTACATTTGCTCCAAAAAAGAGCAGTAACATTTATTAGTGTTATGAACTAAATGATTGTCAAAATAATAACAGATAGCTAAAAAATAAATTATTTAATTATTGGTAAAAACATGCTGTAGAAAAAGATTTACCAACATGAAAAATATTAATTAAATTAATTATTATTAAAATATAAATTTTAATTATTCTGCGATAACATTTGTTAATGACTCTTAAACGACTTCAGATTGGTTTCAAACATTTTTTG